TACAGCCTATGCCTAAAAAATTTCGTATGCAGGTCCAGTACGGTACCTCTCCAAATTCGGTATTATGATAATTTTTTTTTTCAAAATTGTTTCAAATTTCGTATTCGAACTTTGTAATGGGTACTGCAGCTTGTGTTCGTATGTGAACTTTGTAATGGGTACTGCAGCTTGTGTTCGTATGTGAACTTTGTAATGGGTACTGCAGCTTGTGTTCGCATGCGAATTGTTTCAAATTTCTTATTCGAAGTTTTTCATGGGTACTACAGCCTATGACAAAAAGTTACTCTTCATACAGCCCCGGAATCATTTCCAGTTTCGTATTCAAAGTTCGTAACGGGTAGTACAGCCTATTTTTGAAATTTTCAAGTTCCTTCCAAATGATGTAGGATATTAAAAGTTTGGCCTGACCGAACATAGTTGCTTTTTTACATGTTTATTTTGCCCTCTGCTGGAAATAAACACAAAATCTTCTGATTTGTACCACAATTTACAACATTCTGGGCTGTTTAATGCCTTGAAGCTCAACAGTCCATATGTACCTAACATTCCTTGATTTAGTACTCCTCACATACATGCTCCGTGTTACTCATTACTCATTATTTGGTAATGATTTTATGATTTTTTAAGAAATAAACTGTTAGTTCACAACCTACATTTTACATTTCCTTGTAATGCATTATTCGGTCTAACAGATTAGGGCATTAATTCTAGGCTATACGCCCGATTTGAGATCTCCATCCAGCATTTTATAAGGTGTTAATAATTGTTAATTATCGGATTGTTTATTAAATGTCATAACGAAAGGTTATGTTATTTTGCCATTAAAATAACAGTAAACACTCTAGGAGTATCTACAGATGACTTTTTTAAATTTTTTTACAGAAAACTAGCTTTAAATCATTTAAATAAATTTAAAAGCCTATAAAATATTTATGTGTTAATTCAATTAAGTCCCAGGTGATATGTTGTAGATTAAATGTCAAAACAGCATATGTTGTGATATTTTTTTTACAAACAGAGGGCACTGAAAATGTTCTTAAACCGCACACATGTGGCATGTTTACACTGTGTTCGCTTTCTCCCCCATTTTGAAAATATTTTTGCAATTTATTTCTAAATAGTTCATTGGGACATAGAACAAGCGCAAAACCAACGAACTTTTCACGATACTAGGAAATATGACATGATATCACGCAATTGCGTGATGGTGTGATTTTAGAAATACAAAAAAACGCGAGAGTGTTGTTTATTTGATTTACCGTGTTAGCGGCGGTTGCTAACACTTATATTCGTTTTGAATTACTATAAGTAATGTATTAGATGGGATGATGGGATTTTCCTACCAGTATGCCAAAACAATTAAATATAAATTTATATATTTTTTTGCTGCTACTACTATTTACCAAAGTTATAATGAGAATTTTGAGTATAATTTTTCCGTCTTTAACAATGGAATTAAATTCAAGGTTATAACTCTAATAACCACAAGGTATTTCCATTAAAATGTTGCCGACAACGAAAAAAATATCATTGTCTTCTTTTTCTGTTACAATAATTTGGTGTATTCTTTAGTATTTTATTTCGGTTACCTAAAAGTCGTGGCTAGTTAGGCTATTAAATTACAAAAAAAAAAAAAAAAAAAAAACTCATTAACTAAAACAAAAACAAAACAGCATCAAAGCCATGCCACCTTAACCATCGTGAAAACTTGAACTAAATATTATTACCATTTTTTATATTTGTATAAAACTTTAAACAAACACACGTACACACAACAAAGACTCGATCAACAGCTAGCCAACCTCTACTTGAGATTCTAAAAACAAAAAGTCGAATGTAAAGTTCCCACGAAAACTGGGAATTAAGATGAAAAAATCTGAGTTGTCGCCAACTCAGTTTTGTTTTTGTTTGTTTTAATTTTAGTTTCAGTTTCAAAATATCTCTGCACTGCCGCCCTACCGATTCGGTCTGCTCTCTTGGCATTGTTAAAATATTTATTTTACCACAATTCTTTTTAATCATCTATCCATTCATCCTCTGCTTTAAGTACTTATTCTTTTTTGGGTGTTTGCATTTTGCATGGCCCTTGAAGTAAGCATTGGATATTTTTATTTATTACAACAAAACAAGTAAACACGGACAACTTCTAAAATAAAATAAATATTTTAATAATGATTAAAATAATGGGAGCAGATGGCAAACCGACGAAGTATTAACTCTATAATGTATTAAGTGAAATAGTATATATGTATGTCTTTATTTACGAGAGTAAATATGAAGTGGAAATATAGAAAAAAAAAAAAAAAAAAAAACAATTAATGACTCTACTTCCGCCCCTACTGCCCAAGTTATTTACACCATTTTAATATTGTAAGACGAAACAAGGTCAAGAAATAAAAGAAGTAAACGATGCACGACTGACCTGATTTAAGAGATCTTAGGGTAATATATTTCTTGTTGGAGTTCAGTAAAATACAAAGAAGATTATTATCGCGTTTTAAGTTTTACTTTTCAAAATAATATATGCTTTAAAAAATTTTATAAAATATATATTACATATTTAGATTTATAGCTCTTTGAAAAAAGGATAGGTTATTCCTGGTTTTGCCGACAGATGTATACCTTCAGTCAATGTTCGATTATTTAAATATATTTTGAATTCTGTTAAGATTATTCAAATTATTGACCCTTTATGGAGTTGGTTCCGAAGTAATGGACCAATATTGTTCATTTCGTTTCGGACCTAAATAAACATGATATAAATATTGCGACATGCCAGGTTCGGACCTTATTGGTTACTTAACTTTATAACAGATATGATAATTTTTAGAAAATGTTTAAAACTGCGTGAGATATCTAATATAAACAATAAATAAAAATATTTGGCAAAATTAAAGGGAAATCGAATTTTCTTAAGCCCAATTTTATGCGAAATCATAAATTTCATATTCATCTCGGGTTCCTGGTTGGGTGAAATATTTAGATACATATAGCAAGTTGTTAAGAGTAGCTGAATTATTTCCCAAGTTATGACAGATAAAAGTATTTAACAATTTGTGACCCTTTGAGGGTGAGGCTCCAGAAGGGTGAGTTTAGCAAAAATGTTTGTATGTGAGCTTTTTGTTTTCAAAATCTTGAGCCCTATTTGGTCGAGGTTTCAGAAGAAATGGTCCGATATCTACCATCTTTATAATAGATCTTGCGTTGATGGAAATATTGAGTTGTGCCAAGTCTGAATGTAATCGGATCTTAATTTCGCGTTTTATGAGCTTCATGGGTGAGGTGCCAGAAGGAGTGGAAGGATGGAACGTTAGTAGAAATAATGGGATGTGTGAAATATGGAGATAACCGGATGCTTATTTCGTTTTGGATATTCAAAACCTGGACCCTTTGTGGGGGAGACACCAGAGGAAATGGTCCGATCTCTTCCATCTTTATAACAGATCTTGTGTTCATGGAAATATTGAGATGTACCAAGTCAGAATAGAATAGGATGTAAATTTCGCGATTTATGAGCTTCGTGGATATTCAAAATTTTGACCCTTTGTGGGGGAGACACCAGAGGAAATGGTCCGATCTCTTCCATCTTTATAACAGATCTTGTGTTCATGGAAATATTGAGATGTACCAAGTCAGAATAGAATAGGATGTAAATTTCGCGATTTATGAGCTTCGTGGATATTCAAAATTTTGACCCGTTGTGGGCGAGATACCAGAAGGAGTGGACCGAAGTATGCCATCTTTGCGTCCGATCTTGGGTCAATAAAAATATTGTGATGTTTGAAATATGAAGAGAACCGGATGCTTATTTCAGATTTTATCATTGTTTTGGTTATTCAAAGCATAAACACTTTGTGGGGTAGGTACCAGAAGGAGTGGACCGATATTGCACATCTCCGATCTCGATCTAAGTTTTATAATAATATTACGATGTACCAAGTTTCGACCAAATCGGATATTCCTTTCGAGATTTATCGTGCGCATCAGCCGGCCAGACAAACGGACGGACATTTCTAGATCGGCTTCAAACGTCCTGAAACGGATTTGGTCAAACGACTAATAGGGTCTAAAACCATTATTTCGATGTGGCACGTTTTGGCCGTATCAAATTACATATACCCTCTGTAGCCGGCCCGTATGGGTCATACCAAAAGTAGGTGGTTGTTATTGCCTTGTAACACGGAAAACAAGCCATGTGACCATTTAAAATTCCAATTGAAGACCTTATAGTAGTTTTCCTATGTGTTCCATATATGGTTTGGATCAAAATATTTAACAAAAGATCGTAAAGCGTCAATACTGTTCTGAAAATATTCTTTAATAAAAACTAATATAGATAATATCTTCTAAAAAACTCTTTTTTTTTCGATAGTCATCCCAAACGACTCAAAACCAGAGTTCAGGAAAGCTACATTCACTCTCTACTCAAATTCGAACGAGAGTACACCTGCGGGTAAAGAAATAAATCTAATATTCTGTATTTTCCTATGCCTCTTGAAGAGGATCGAGTATGCTTCGTTCAAATAAGTGGGAGTAAAATTCGCTCGAAATTGAGCAGAGTCTTCTCTTGCCGAGTACTTTTTTAAAATTTTTTATTATACCCTTTTTCAAATAGGAATAACCCATGAGCGCTCCCACACAAAACAAAATGAAGAAGTAAACTTCGTGAAGAGTAAACTTCGCGTAAAAGCCGTAATCTTCGAGCTCTCCCGCTCGCGAGTGAAAAAGAGAAAATCTTGTGCCCTGCTGTTTCAACACTTTTGCGATTATATATTACTTTTTCCTTCAAAACTACATTGTAAAAATCAGTTATTGGGGACTTCAGTGTACTAAATGATTCCTGATTCGGATAGTCTTGTCAATTTTTTCCTTACTTTATAGACCATCAGTTTTGTTCGCAGTACAAAAGCAAATCTTCTTCAACCTTGTTTCGCCTTACAATATTAACGTTTTGAAAAAAGACAAATACAAATCGATTTACAAATTCACAACAACAACAGTTTATTTATAATTTACAGAAAAGAAATTAGTGGAAAATTACAGACAATTTTCTTCAGCTTAAGAAAAATAAAAACAAAAAACACAAAAACATTTAAAAACATATTTTTGTGAATTATTACCAAAGAATCTAAAAACAAAATAAAGAAGGGAAAAGTGCAGAAAAATTAAGCACACAAGAAAAGCAACAAAATATAAATAAAGACATATTTCTTGAACACACACACCCGCACATAACCAATGACGCTGAGATAATGTTGAGGACACCTACGCATTTTGTTGAGATCGGTACGAATTCAACAAAATCAAGCACACCGCTCATACAAAAACTACAACATCATCATCATCACCAGCAGCAGCAGCAGCATCATCCAACGATTACCGGTACCAAGTACCAGTATCATGAGCAATATTCAAAAATTGTCGACAACAATCATCACCAGCAGCAGTCAGCCAGCAAAGTGGTGGAGTATCAACAAACAACAAAGAAACTGAAATCGTCTTCAAAAAGCGCCACAAAATTAAAACAGAAAAAGAACAAATCATCAACATCATCGTCGACATCGACCTCAACTTCCATTTCGTCGTCGGGTACCAGTGACGATTCCTCATCATCGAGCGTCGGTACTGCGGCCACAATTTCTTCACCCACCCCCTCGTTGACGTTCAAAGAACATTTTCTGAGCCGGGGTCTGTTATCGGGTTCGCCTTTTTCTTTTATGCGCTTGAGAAAGGCCAAAACTATTGGCAATACCAGTACACCAACGGCGGGCAAAAACCATCCAGAGCTAAGAAAATCATCTAAGCGTTTTGTGGATTTTGTTGATTGCAGCAGCACCAACAACAACAACAGCAGCAGCAACAAGAGCAGTGGTAAAGACAATAACAGTTATTATAAAATTAGCAAAACGGGTGCTAGTTTAGCAACGACGGAAAAAGAAAACTGTGCTGCAGCGAGTATAACGCCGTTATTAGATAAAACGGCAACTGGAGCACCATCACCAGGCACAGGCACAGCCGCAGCAGCAGCCACAGCACCGCCAACTAAGTCAGGCAACAATACACGCACAACAACGGGTTATTTTGCCAATATTCTTAACAGTAGCAGTAATAATAGTAGTTCCAGCACTAATACCAAAAACATTTACAACAATAACAACAACAACAACAACAACAATTATTTAAGTTCATTAACCACCGATAGAAAAAAGGAGCGGACAACAGCAACAGACTCAAACGACAAGTTGTCAACAACAACAACTGATTACAACAGTGTTGCCAATCAACCAGAACATCCTAGCACCATCTTGCCGTTTGTCTCCTTTTCCAATACTGTTGTGGCACCGCCTACCCTAATAGCCGTAGCCGTTGCCTCGCCGCCACCACCTCCAACACCCACACCAAATTCATCAATAACCATTACGACGACGACAACAACAACCATGTCACCCACAACACAGACACCACCAGCCGCACGTACTTCACTCTTTGATTCCTGTCATCGGAAGATACGCCTAATTGGCGGTGGTCCAGTTGCATTTTTGGGCGGTTTAGTTGCGTAAGTGTTAATGACCTAATTATGTGTGTTCGTATTTTATACCGTTAATAATTGAACTTTAAATGTTAAATGGTGTTATTCTTCTATATTTTATATTTAATTAACAGTCTCAGGGAAGAAATCCAATTTTCTTAGCTAAGGTCATTTGCCGAACTGTAGCAGTGAGGTTATTTTTTTTTCTGCTAAACTATTTTTAGTTTCCATTTTCTACTTCTTTTTTCAATTTTGCTCTATTTCCTCTTTCGACAGCCATTAAATTTAATTTATGACAGTTTTAATATTTAAACCATAAATTTTAAAGCTCTGTATTAGATTTCAACCATCTTTGGACAGCATTCATTGACCATGATGATGGTCAATGAACGATCGTTCCATGGTTGCGAGTTGTGACCACCCACCTACATAAGTCACGCTTTTCTCATAAAATGTTAGTTAAATAAACTAGTTTTATTTTTGCGATTGCTCTATTTTTAGTGGAGTTATAAAAAAATAATAATAAAAAAAACAAAGCACACATGGTCAGGGACATATATAGGGCAAACTTTGGATGCCATGAATTCGATTTCCGGATCTTTTGTAGATGTTTGGTAAGGAGAAAATTAAATCTTGCCAGACCAACTTTTTATATACTCCGCCAATTTTAAAATTAAATGACGAATTGATTATCTTTAAAGTCCTTGAAATTCGAAAATGGGCGGTTAAATGCTGGAGTCTGAATGGTGACGAAAGTTGTGCACCGGATATATTTCGATCTGTAGCAAAAATTAATTTTAGGATGTATATAATGCTTTATACCAAATATATAATAAAATATCGGGAGCATATAAAAGCCTTACAGGTGGTTCAATCAGCGCTATATCTACATCTGAAATTATGGGATATTTACTTATGGGTTTAATTCGGCCTTGTGTGCTTATGTTTACGCATTTCGTTCACAATAAACGTGAAATCGGAGGAAGTTTTATGCAGGAACTATATTTAAAACTTAACCATTAAACAACCGAGCATAAAATGTTTTCTAAAAACAACTTTGGAATTGATCTATATAAGTGGAATCAGGATCATATAATGCAATTTTTTTTAAATTGGACCAGAGTCTAATACAAAATGACCCGTCTTCGAACCCCTCACAATCAGAATATACCGTTCCATAGGACTTTATTTTCTGGAAGGCAATTTCTGTCGATCATAGTGGCAAATAGCGAACAATTAGGTTGGAATTTCACGAGGTTTCACAAAGGTAATGACAAACAAAAAATACAAATATGCTCTCTTACTTCTCTCTCTCCCCCTCTCTTTCGTGAAGTGCCGCTATAAAAGACCTATCCAAAGTATTCTCTATATAGAATATTTGTTATGATATTATATACGTAGGAGACCCTTAAAACTCGTATCTTTAAAGGCCTTCAAAAGATTTTTTTGTGCTTAGGAAACCATTAGGAATCAATTTTGTCAAGACTTTAGAGATTGCTTCGTTGAATTGTGGCGGACAAAGAATACATCTGTATGGATTTTTTTTTTAAAGACCTTCAATATGTTTTCGATCTTTGGAAGTTCTCAAAAATGTTTTACACATAGAAAATCTTTAAGGTGCCTCGATACAGCCTGTTGACAATATTTAGGATGTTCCCTACGAAAATCTTTGACTTTTGACAAACTTAAAGAAGAAAAACCTTTAATTGGTCTTTGATCTTAAAAAGACATTTCATTAAAAACTTGGGAGGAATTTTACCCCTTGTTTATAGAAGACCGTCATATGCATAACTCTTTTTAAAGGGGGTCTGGCTAAGGACCTTGAGGATGTCTCAATTTCATAGAATTTTTAAGTGTTATTTGTTAGTTCTTTTATCTAGAAGACCACTCAAGATGTCTCTTATCTACAGACGACCTTCAAGAAATGTCTGTCTGTAAAAGTCATATAATATTTTTTCAATATATTTGGAAGAGCCTTGAAAACGGGCTCGACCGATAAGAAGTCTTCTATCTACAGGAGTTTTTTTAAGAGGCTCTCGACTTATAGCAGAATTTAATAAGGTCTTTGATTTAAAATAAAACTTTAAAGGGATTTTCAAAAGATTTGGGATCTATAGAAGCTTTTATGGTATTATAAAGATTCGGGCATTTGATCAATAAAACACTATAAAAAGTACTTCAATCTAAAGAAGCTAATAAGATCCTTACAAAATCCTGGATTTACAGCAGAACGTAATGGAGTTTCTAACAGGCATTCGATATACATAAGATTTTAGAGTCACGTCATTGTTATACCCTACGCCACAAGGTGGTCAGGGTATTATGTCTTTGTACATTTGTTTGTAACAGGTAAAAGGAAATGAGATAGACCCATAGTTCCTTTTGATGATCTGCATAGAATCCCATTCTGAGTCGATTTATGTATGTCCGTCCGTCTGTCCATGTATTTTTGTAAGCAAAGTACAGGTCGCATTTATTGTCTGATCCAGATGAAATTTTGCACAAGTTATTTGTTTAACCCAAGGACGAACTCTATTGACATTGGTGATAATCGGATCAGATTTAGATATACCTCCTCCAATTTTTGCACATCCAGTTTGGAAGCAAGTACATCAAATTTGGTGAAAATCGGTTCAGATATAGCAATAGCTCCCATATATTTGTTTCATCCGATTTGGTGTTCAACCCCCAGAAATACCTCTGCCAAATTTTATCAAGATCAGTTCAGATTAAATAAAGCTCCCATATATATCTTCAACCGATTTAGGGTTAATTGTGCACCAAATGGCCAATATAAGTCCATATGACCTGAATTTTGGCACATCCTATTGAATCCAGTTTAGAAGCTAGTCCATCAAATTTGGTGAAAATCAGTTCAGATATAGTTATAGCTCCCATATATATGTTTCATCCGATTTGATGTTTAAGTCCCTCACATTCGTTCAAGAATGACATTTGGTACCAGATATCTTATAGAGCTCGGAAATACCTCTGCCAAATTTTATCAAGATCAGTTCAGATTTAGATATAGCTCTCATATATATCCTTAATGCGATTTCAGGTTTATTGTGCAAATAATGTCTAATATCTGCCTAAATGGAGTGAATTTCGGGACGTACGTTTCCATTTTGTGGAACTCAGCTCCGATATATACATTTTTTAATATAATCCTTCTCGAAGTGATATCATGTACTCTATAACAATGTTATTTGCTATAAAAGATTAAATTATCTCCGTCAAGTTTAGTAAAAATCGATCCAGAATTGGATATGCCCTTCTTATATTGGTTCCCTCTAAAACCAGACTATAACTGATCTAAAGCCAAATGTTTATAAGTGGTATGATTTACTTTAAATAAATTATTTTGATAAATGAGCTCTACTAAATATGCATCGTGGTGTGGAGTATCATATAGTCGGACCCGCCCTACTTTTTTATTTTCCTTACTGTTTTTATACCCTATACCACAAGGTGGTCAGTGTATTATGTCTTTGTACATTTGTTTGTAACAGGCAAAAGGAAACGAGATAGACCCATAGTTCCTTTTGATGATCTGCATAGAATCACATTCTGAGTCGATTTATGCATATCCGTCCGTCCGTCTGTCTGTCTGTCCATGTATTTTTGTAAACAAGGTAATGGTCGCATTTATTGTCCGATCCAGATGAAATTTTGCACAGATAATTTGTTTGGTCCAAGGACGGACCCTATTGAAATTGGAGATAATCGGTCAGAATTTAGATATATGTAGCTCCCGATTTACCTTTTATTGTGCACCAAACGTGTAATATCAACCCAAATTGTATGGAATTTTGCATATACACCCAATTAGGCCTGAAAATAAGTATGCCAAATTTGATCGAAATCGGTTCAGATATAGCTATAGCCCCCATATATATTGTTCATCCGATTTGTTATTTTTGTCCTCCGCAGCCGTAATATGCACTCTGCAACAACAATATTTGGGGAAATATATCAAATACAGCTTAGAAATATATTTGCCAAAATTTATCGATATCGGCTATAGCTTCAATATATATTTTGTTCATCCGATTTGTTGTATTTGTTACCCCCAACAGTGATATGCACACCGTAACAACGATATTCAGGGAAATATATCAAATACAGCTCAGAAATATCTCTGCCAAATTTTATCGAGATCGGTTCAGATTTGGATATAGCTCCCATATATATTTTTATCCGATTTTAAATTATTGGTGGACAACACAAGTCCGAATTTAAAAGATACAAATACTTCGGCATAACTTTAAATTATAATTATAATCATAGCGCGTATGATTGAATTCTCCCATAAAAATTTTTAATTGTTATGCGGTGCTCTACTAAATGAGCAAAGTGGTGTAGGGTATCATAAAGTCGGCCCGCCCGACTTTAAGACTTTCCTTACTGGCTTATTTTCTTGTTATAGGAAGAACTTAAAGAAGAACTTCTTTATATAGAAGACCTCTTAAATCGGTTTATAAATGATTTTTAGGAAGTCCTCTGCCTATAGATGACCTTTAAGAGGTGTTCTGTCTTTGGCGAACCTTTGAAAGGATTTTGATCCATAGTAGACCTTAAAGGTTCTTAGTCTAAAATAAACCTTAAAAAGGTCTTCTTAACATGGAAGACTTGGAAGAGGACATTGAGAAATCTTCTGTCTAGGAGACCATAACAAGGCTGAAAAGAGGTCTTCTCTCTATAAAATGCCTAAAGCGGTCTATTATTTGTAAAATCCCTTTAAATGCAGGACGTCTTTTATCTTAAACGAACTATAAGAAGTCTTCTATCTATAGCAGACAATTTAGCGGCCCTTAACTTTTGAAGACTTAAGAAGCCAAAAGGAAATCCAATTGGGATTTTAAGAAGATCTAATTTAAAGGGATTTAAAGCGGATATTTTTTTCGATGACAAAACGGTTTCCTTTAGCAACTCCTTTCTTATCTACCATTTTTCAAACTCTTCGATATATGCTTACGTTCTAAAATAGGTTAATGATATTCTAATGTCAAAGTGGTGTGGTGAAT